TTATTCTTCGAGAAACGAAAGAGAGCTTCAAAACAGAGACTGCAACGATATCTGTGAACCAATGCGCGGACTTCCGTGGACACTTTTTTGACCGAGTGAACTATCTTGTTATGTACAATCTTTGGTACAGCCCAGTAGCCTAGAGCTGGGCCGATACCATGATTTAGGACTTCGTATCGACGCCGTACTAGCACCATTTCGTATTTAAAATTCTGTTAAAATTTAAGCGTTGATGTATTTCGCCTAAAATTGCAAGAAATTGCGAAAATTGCAAAAAACTGCGGGTTTATCGTGGAACTCGACAAAAAATGCGCCGCACGACCGCCATTTCCTGGGGGGGGGGGGGGCAGGCCAATGCATAAATTTTTTAGACACTAGTCATTTTTGTCTCTTCATAATAATATGTCTGCTCAAGGGTAGGCTTCCCTGATGCCGGCAATAAGACATGTGAGTACTTTTTTCATAAAGAAAACACTGTTGGTGTATTTTTGCTTTTGGAAGGGTATTTGGATAATCACACCTTACGTATTGAAGAAAACGGTGTACATCACTTTCTTTGTGGACTTGTTTCGTTTTGCAATTTTCGGGGGTTCGATCTTTTAGGGCGCCTTAACATGTTATGCGACTTCCAGTTTGGCTCCAAGAAGTGCACTCATATGTTTCAATATCAGTGGCAATTTTGGCCAGGCGCCAGGTTCACAAGTCCCGTATAAGTATTTAGAAATTGGTGGCGTATTACCCCGTTATTTTCCCTTGCAATATAATAACGTATCCATCATGTACCTAGCTGTCCAGAGCTTTCTGAGCCCCAAATCTTCACGTAACAGTAAGTGCAGTGACGATGAGTGTAGACCCACTCTTCGGGCTATCTCTTGAAGGTTCACTTGACTGTCCACGTCAGTAATAGCTTTGATAGCAACAACAGTTTGATGGGTTGGGGGGGGGGGGTTGCTTTTTGTCTGCGGAGTGCTTTAGCCCCAGGTTTCGGGAATTACCTAATGCCCACATTTTTTAAAACAATTCTGTACACCGCGAAAAAGTGTTGCTCTGGGGCTCATTGCATTTGGCTGGAACTTCATAGATTTCGGTTTCGTCTCCCTCAATTGCTGTACAAACCTTTATAATATATGATCGAATTTTACCTGGAGGAAGACTTATTTTCCCTATATTAATTTTAGGTAGTTTCATATACATTGTACGTAGTCAGCTTTAGAGAAAAAAATTAGAAAACGTGACCATGAAGATTAAAATGGTTGAAATTGATGTTCGGGAAATCGAACCACCTCATTTTGTCTGAAGACCCCCTCAGAGCAGGCCAGTTTACTTAAAAAACAAAATTACATGGTTTCTAAAATTTTTAAAAAGTGGATCCATTTAAAAGGTAATAACTCGTTTCTCTTTTGACCAATTTCAACAAAATTTTCAGAAAACTAAATTCGACCTAGAAGACTTCAAATTCCATAGTAAGAAGAAAATCAAGCGACATGGTCGCAAAATATTAAATGTTTAAAATTGCAACTAAAACTGAGAAGCATTTTGTTCTATTTCAAATACATGTAGTCACTTTGTGCACTGAGAAGAACGAATGTATGCAGAATCTATATTGGCAGGGAAGGTGGTGGGTATTTAAATTGTACATGCCCGGTGTTGACCATTATACTCTCCTTAAATGCTCCAATACGCCACTGGAAACTTTGAACAACCCTGTGGCGTGTTTCTGGGTCGATTCTTTGGGCCTCCTGTTCAACATTGAGTTCCAACGATTCGTTTTCTGTTAGCTATTTCTGTAGAATCTGTCGGTCAAAACTCTCAATAGAAATAACTGAGGGCAGTTTGTCGGGAGAATGTGGTGACCATACACCAGCCCCCCTCAATAGCTTAACACTTTCTCCTCCCTCAGACGTTTCCTACACCTTCTCAGCACGGTCTGATCTGACTGTTCTGGGTGGTTTTATCGCCCTCGTCCTGAAACTAAAACAAGCCGATCCCGCCCTTGTACATGAACGGTTAGACATTTCTTGAATACTTTGGTTGATTTTTTTTCATACTATTTACAAACCTGACGTCTCGTAGCTTGAATTAAATTTTCTTTCAAAGTTATCTTGAAAATTAGTTCAGAGATGACCAAGTATTGCTCTTTAAATGAACACTCTTTTTTGGACGCCCTGTTGGTGTTGTTAAGTTTTTTGTTTTTTGTTGTTTCTTTTAAAGTCGATGTTTTATGTCCCCATCAACACAAGTTAGATCTTTTAGGAAACGGGCTTCGGTACTGTCTGGCGGGGCGAACCCTGGCTGAGAGGGTAACAGCTTCTCAGTATAAAGACATACTCGATAAAAATGTCCATTCACGAGGATCGAACTGGGGTCTTTTAACTTCTGTGTGCGACGGTGAAGAGCTTAATCGCTACACCACAGACGCGGGAATGTAGCTCGTCTTTGAATTGAAAGAGTCAATAAACAAATAACTTATGACACAGCAGAAACCACAAGTGAGTGGATTATTTAAATTGTTAAAAGTCCAGATAGAGATATTTACATAAATTTGCATTGTTTTCTTCTTTGTGTTTTAAATAAATGTGTTAGAGACTGTGACTATTTGCTGCCATAATATTTTAGGTAGAAATCAAACGAGTATGTCATTTTTCAATGTGTAGTTGTCCATGTTTGTCAATGGAGATCATGAATAGATTTGGGCAAGTGCCCCTTTAGCAGTCCTCGTATTCCCTCTTCCAATGCATGATGTATAATATTTTTCATTTAGAGGGATACGACACAGTTCATCTATCTGAATCCTGCTGGGCTGGGATACTCAATTTGTTCTTGCTACTGATATCACGTGTGTAGTCAGTTAAAGAGGCGTCTGATCAGTCATGCTCTTGCCCAGTACATGCATCTGTTTGCATGAGCATAGAAATAGTGTGTTTTTATAGACACACAAGATAAGGAGAGAGTGAGAGTGAGATACAGACAGACAGACAGACAGACAGACAGACAGACAGACAGACAGACAGACAGACAGACAGAGAGA